TGTAAGGGATGTTTCTTTTTGTTTCCTCCTCTGTGCTAATCGGCTCCTTCACAAAGAGCAACACATGCTCTATAAATTCGTAACTTTTGTTTTCAGTATACATGTCACAGAAACAAAAGCCGGGAAGTGTTTGATTCACTCAAAAATAATTTATTGATTTTCTTAACTATTTTTAAGTTATTAGTCTTTTCGAAATCGGTAGATGTTCATTCATAAATATACAAGAGTTGTATATTTATAGAATAATAAAAGTATAAATAACATAATCTTTTACAAGACATTAAAAATAATATTTTAAAATTTTTTAACAATTGTTACCATTTTTACAATTTGTCTCTCTTCATTATTAACCACCATATATAATTTTATAAATAATATATATATATATATATACACACATAATATAACTAATCATTTGAAATTTAATTTGCCCAGCATCTCTCTCGTACTATATTTTTGTTAACTCTAATTAATCCTACTTGAAAGTATTGTACTTTAATTCAATAAATTTAAAGCTAATAACGACGACGTTTCATTTTCTACATTTTACAAATAAAAATTTCGGGCCAACATGCAGTCTCTATACGTGCAGGTTTATTATATCTATCTAACTAATTTATTTATTTAATATTATATAAGGCAAAAAAGAAATTTACGTGTTGAAAATTTGATTGCCGGCTGAATCTTAGTACGCACATTTGGGACAACCCAATTTGGGCAGCATCTTAATTTCCTTTTGCCATACGGACAAAATTAGAATTATCATTAATATATAGTTTTTTAAATCACATTATTCAATTTAATAATATATTATGAATTGGGTCAATTTCTCCCATCAAAATATAGCTACCCACGTTTGGATTTATTGAAAAATATGAAGTTCTCATTTTTTTATTTCCATTTGGCAATTGTTCGATTTCATACTATAAAAAAAAAATGTGTGTATAATATAAGGTTACTTAAACATAGTAAATTATAAACTAAATTAAATTATAATACTATTTTCTTTTAAATCTATATCTCATTTACATTATTTTTGTTTTTTTTTTTATTTAATTGAAACAAATATATTTTCCTTACATTTGGAATTTTGAATTTGATTATTATAATGTTTTAAAAATAAAATATTTAATACAGTGTGTAAAAAATATAGCCTTCTCTTAAGATAGAACTAAGCTTATTGTAAGGCTAGAACTGGTGCAACATAAATCGTCTCTTTGTTATTACAAGCAGCTACAGCAATGAGCAAACTTACAGATACATGCACCGGCTGTTGCTACCCGAAGATATTACAGCAGCAGAGAAGCATAAACTGCTCGATCATAATATAAAATATGGGCCAATGATGAAACAAATGGTATGAACAGTGAGGCCGGGAAAACCAGGGCATCAAACGCTAAGTTTGGGATGGAAACCGATAGTTATAAATGGTTCCGTAAATTCATCTAAACAAGCCATCCTGATTCTCTCGGGTGTAGCCGGATTATCAAGAGGAAACCATTCGTTGTGCCCTACTTCGGCTCTGGCTGCTATAATCGCATCTTTGATGGCAAAGAAAACAGCTGAAGCCAGGAAAAATGGAGGCTCACCGACAGCTTTGGACGAATGGATAGCCTTCACATTTGGATGTCCCTGTTCATTACCAAAGTGTAAACACATCACAAAAAGTCTTTATTAAGAATCCTATCTCCTGTGTGTGACAAAAGCTCCCAATAATTCTACCAATTTGTTATTTCGGAATTTAATTTACAAAATTATAAAATTATCGACTTTGAATAACGAGAAGTAAATAGCAGAATTAGACCTTAAGCAGGGAAACATTGAACTTGAAGGGGAGATCATTTATAGAAGGAATTTTGTAACTTCCGGGCCCTGTCGTGTACAAGCAGCCAGGTCGAATCCACTTATGAGCTGAATCTCCCCACTTCAGCTCTTCCAAGGCTGCCCAACCCAGTCCTTGTATGAATGCTCCTTCAATCTGCAATGCTCACAAATTAAAGATCCGATAAGCTCTCGTGTCTCGGATACAATACCGAACAGATGTCACTGATATTCAAGGAAAAGAGAAAACCTCTCTCCCGTATAAAAAAAAAAATTCATCCACAATCTGATTTCTCACACAAGGAGAAGCTTATTATGCCTAAACCTGCTAATTCTTAGCATATAGAATATCCAATACTGTGGGGAAAAAAAGGGAGCTCATCCTTTACACATAGGATTATATCAAGTTGTGGAAACAAAAGGCACCTGTCCAACGTCAATGGCTGGGTTGAGAGAATATCCAAGGTCCAAAAAAACATTTGCTGTCCTTGTGTGGAAATCTCCAGTCAATGTGTCAATTTCAACCTCAGCAAATGCAGCCCCATATGTGAAGTACCTGAATGGGATACCTTTACCGGTTGTCCAATCAAAGCCAATCTCCGGTGTAATATAAAATCCATGAGCAGAAAGGTCTACTCGTTGCACATAGCAGGCACTCACCAGCTACAAATAATTGGAAAGCAAAAAATTCTCTGTTAAATAGCTGATGTGAAGGAGGTTGTCATAAACTCGACATGTAAGAAAAATAATTTAAAATTTCTGCAGGAAAAAAAATTAAGATCCTGTAAGGCACGAGAAGGTAAACTAAATATCTCTAATAACACATAACACTGTTGAAATTACACAATTATAGTGAAATATTTAGCGGTAATAAAAGTATTATGTTTTATATTTTTTTTGAAGTTTCGCTTCAAGGTACCTCAGCAAAAGAACCAAAATTATGTCTGGAAGCAATAGGCTCCATCCGTGCTTTTATCTGCTCACATGCATCCAAGACTGCAGCACCATACATATCCGAACTCGCAGAAGCAGCTGTTGGCGATGAATTAGGAACCTAGTTCAGTAGCAATACAAGAGAACCAGATATGAAGAGAAGCCATTAGCATTCTTGACTACCTAACTGCTAAAGGAAAGGCTAGTTAGACTCGAGGATCATCTGAACTAATTATAAAAGAATTCAACAGTAATATCCATCAAACATTTATGTAATAAAAATGCTGTAGATTAGATGAATCTTATTTGATAATCCATCTTATTCTTAATGAAAGTGCAGCAGAATATAGGACTCTTATTTGCTAGCCCATCTCAGTCGTAAACTAAACCATATTGCTCCCTGGTTCTCAGTTGAAGAGGAGAAAGTTTTTTTTTGGCAATAAATTTGATGGTGTGAGGACATGGAAATCTGCTGGAAGGACGAGCAGCAAAGAGTTCAAGAAAGAGTAAAACTTTGTATTTCTGGATCTGACCAGAAACTTCTTTTTAAATTAGAGAAGAAATATTATTAGAAGAGAAATGAGAAAATAAAAAATAAAAAAACAGAGGTTTAGATATCCTTCGAAGGCCTCCTAAAACCAGAAGGCAAAACAAGAAGAAACAACGAGAAAATTTCAATACAAGATCACTCCAAATTTCTATAAAACAAAAAAAAACAAGAATATGTGAAAATGACCATGAGCAAAGGCCTATTGGGTAGTCAAAAGAAACTGGGAGGAAAAGAAACAGTCATTAAGAAAATCCAGTAATTATGCTTCAAGCAAAGCACCCACACCAGCATCCTTCCTCAACCCCTCCATATTCAGAGACAAACTCACAAAACAAGTCAGAAAAAGGAGAGCAATCCACACCAGCACAAAGGTGTCAAACAGCATGGTCCACATATTTTGTGCGACCTCATAGTGAAGGAAGAGATGATCATGAGTCTCCCCCTTCCTATAACACATAACATAAATGTTTTGAGAAAGAGAACAATTAGGTCTATGAACTTACAGCAACTCTTTAGTGTCAAGCTGATTGAGAATAGCAGTTCAACCAAGAGCCTTAATCTTATAGGGGACTTTTGCTTTCCAAAATGCAATGGTGAAAGAATATGACCAGAAACTTTAAACAATTATCTAATTTTTGAGTGAGATAATTTTGGCATCTACGGTTTTTTATCACCCATGAGTGGATTCATTTATCCATGGAACCCTTTGGATCCCTATACATGTCAATCTAAGTCCCTTGTTCAAACATCCATACAAAGGAAACAAAACAAACACAAAAAACAAAGTGACCATATTCAACTTCTCTAGCATCTATCTCATTCTAAATTCCGTCCAGAAACCCATAAAACAGAGGTAACATCTGCATAATGGTACTGCATGGAGCCCAGTATTCCGATATTGCATTTTCACCTTGTCAGTGCTTGTCTCTGACACAAAGACAGAAGTGAGAGGGATATTGAAGGCGGAAGCAGCAACTTGAGCGACTTTTGTGTGTAATCCTTGTCCCATCTCAACCCCTCCATGTGTGACCAAAACAGTTCCATCTGTGTAGACATGAACAAGTGCCCCTGCCTACAGCCATTAGAAATTCATAAACGATCAGCCAATGACAGATGCAAGAGAAACTAAATCCGATCATAGATCATAAAACCACACCAAAAAGTATCTAATCTACGGCATAAGAGAAATAGTGCAAACTACACATTGATGAATCCTTAGTTCCCAACCCAGTAAGTGAAATGTAAGTAAAATTAAGATCAGTGATTGATGTTTTTTAGCTTGAACCAAAGAGTGGTGATATTATATGCATTAATGAAAATGTTTACATTGAAAACCTGCCTATGATCCATTCACAGTTGCCACTCACAATTCACAAAAAGTGGTGCTAGATACAGCAGTTTATGGATCTTTTTTAGGCAAAACAGACGAATAACACATGATCCCTGCAGTATTTGGTGACATCAACCAATTTTTTTTCTAGGACCAACTATATAAAAATACCTTCGACAGTTACCTGGTTCATGAACTTGGTTGTAAATGATATCCCAAATTTTGTTGGAACCATTGCGACACCCCGCTTCTTCCACCGGTTCTGACTATTAAATTGGGCAACTTCTTTGCTAGCATTCAAGAAGTCACAAGAAATTTTCAGCTCATTCCAGAGCTGGGACAACGTACAATGTTGAAGTTGTTGACCATAATGCAATATTGACCCTTCACCTTGAAAATTAATTTCCTTGATTTTAGAAGACAACAGTCAATAACCAATAGTTTTATGTGTAAGACAACAGTTAAAAATGCTATATACACATTAGCACAAACAAAGAGCACGTGACACTCACTCTTATTTCTCAGGACTTTTACTCAGCTCGACAGCAATTCTTGGATCCAATTCTCAGCTATAAGCATACCTTGAGGACCGCCAAAACCTCTAAAAGCAGTATTACTGGGAAAATTAGTGAAGCAAACCCTTCCTACAATCTTAATGTTTGGTATCTCATAGACATTATCTGAATGAAACATAGCACGTTCAAGGACAGCAAGAGAAAGATCAAGTGAATTTCCAGCATTGTTGTAGATTTCGAGATCCAATGATAACACTTTTCCCTTGTTTGTAAATCCAACCTACGAAGTCATCTCACGGCATCAATTATCTACTGCTTTAATTTCAGTTGAACAAGAGAAACAAAAAATCCACCAATTAAATGCTAGTATCAAGAATAAAGTATAGAGTTAATCCAGTATATACATCACTGGAGATAAAGTGTCTCTACGCTTCTTTAGTAAAGAAAAAAGTGGGTGATAATGCCTCTTATCTGTCTCAAATTATTCATTCTGTGTCTGGAAAAAAAAAATGCAATGACGTTTACATTTCCATTTACATCTGTGTTTTCCAATCATTTTAAAGGGAAGATCCAATAAAAATTTTGATTAAATTATTGAAAGAAAAACAATAAAATAAGCTGTTGTTCGGTCCACTAGCTACTGAAGCTTCAAAATTTGTTCCTGGTCCTGTTTCTAGCTCAATTGCATGAACAAAAGAACTTGAGAACTGACTGGCATTAAATGATAAAAGCCTTTGCATCTCAAGTGTAATTTTAAGTAACGAGTGGATTAAAGTACAAGCTACCTGGTAAAGTGCACTGCAATGTTAAATAACAACATATGGATTAAAGTACAAGCCACTTTAAATAACAATATTACCTTGTACTTTCCCAGAAAGCTATGACGATGCCCAGTAATCATCATGTCTGTATCTCTGTCTAGTGTAATTTTTACTGGCTGATTCAACAGATAGGAAGGGACAGAAGCCACTGCTGCAACAAATGCTGACCTTGTCTCCTTCCCACCAAATCCGCCACCAATACGTTTGGTTTTACAAACTACTTTTGACATTGGAAGACCAAGAGCATGTGACACATACTTCTGGTGCTTCTGAGGGGCCTACAAATGAAGAGTCACACTTAGATAGTGCCATTAGATAAATGCATATTATTGCTAAGGGAACATGTGGATTAAAATATAGATGCCTATTTTGAAAACCACATGAGACAGAAGATAGAAATTGAGTATCAAATTTGCTTTCAATCTAGTTCAGTTGAAGAACAGATTCTTTAGATTCAAAATCTTTCAACTCAATGTGAAAAAGGTTTTGATTGCCTGTTATGGTTGTTGTAAAATAACTTAGGCAACAGATAGATTAAAGTAAAAGTTGAGAG